AATTCTTCCTACATTATGACCAATGCAGCCCAAGCATCACTGTGATATAAACAAACAAGTAGCATACGGAAAATATTAAAGGAAATAAAATTTAAATAGCAAGAATAATAGGTGGTAGAAGAAATACTGACATCTATGTGCCATATGGGAGCTGCAGTACTGAGCAGAGGTGGCAATAGCCTGAAAAGATAGATCCCTAATAACTTTCTGTTCTACTTGTAGCCAATGGAAAGATATATGCAACCTCAGGCCAGTTTTGTTTTTTTGTTTGTTCGTTTTAAGTATTGCTGACAGAAACCCAGCAAGAAAAAAATTCAAGATGGAAAAAAACTGAATGATAGAATAACTGATTTTATACTGTCTGGTGGAAGAACTTAAATAATGAACACCCATGATATGGTAACATCTCAGAAAGACATGTCACATTTCTTTCTAAGGGAAACGCTTCATCTATCCAGTAAATTAGACTGGTCAGAATCTCTTCAATCCCTGGAAAAAGTGCAGTGCAAGCTGTCTTAGAAGCTATTTTTAAACACATTAAGGACAGGAAAGTGAATGGGAACAGCATATTTATCAAAGGAACATGATGCCCGACTAACAGCACTCTATTCAGTATCAACTAACTGGTGTTCTCTCAAGGGAGACCTTATTGCTCTCTGTAACTACCTGAAGGGAGGTTGTAGTGAGCTGGGGGGTCAGCCTCTTCTCTTGTCTAATGGTTTAGTGAGAGCTATTGGTGATGAGTGGATGGTTGGACTGGATGATCTTCTGGGTCTTTTCCAGCCTTGGTGATTCTGTGCTTTGGACACACAGGAGGGAGCAAGGACGTTGTGTATCTTGATTTCAATAAGAACTTCCGCATATTCTTCTACACCTTCCCTATCACCAAAGATGTGAGATATAATCTGGATAAGTAGATAATACAAAGGAAAATTTGGTTGGGACTACCAGGCTTAAAGCATAGCAACAATCAGTGGTGCAAACTGCAATTGGCAGCCAGTAACTAGCAGCATCCCTCAGGCACCACACCCTCAAAATCTTCATTAGCAACCCAGATGGCATAACAGATCACACCTTCAGCAAGTTTGCTGATAACACCAAACTGCAGCAGCAAGCAATACAGTAAAGGGAAGGCCTGCTATTCAGAGGGACTTTGAAGCTGGGAGGTCTAGAGAAGTGATCCTTTCAGTAGTCCTAAACTAGTAATATTAGGCCACTTTCTGAAAACAACACCTTAGTCTCCCTGCTGTCTCATGATAATTAATTTTACAAGCCATCTGCACACCGTGTGAATACATTTCCTGCTCTGTGAGAGATTTTTTCTCTTTCAGTTCCAGAGACTCTTTATCCCCACAGTAAGAAAAAGCAGAGTGAAATATAAGGACTATCACATAAGTAAGCAAAGATAGGTACGTAGCAAGCAAAGAGACTGGAGAACGTGCAAAAAAACCATAAGGGTGAAGGCTACAATACTCCCTGATCCTTTAAGACATTGTCACAAGGAACATGTAACCCAACTGAGTTATTTGGGACAGAAGGTGGTTTCCTATGTAACAGAAAAAAAACTGTGTTGACTTTGACTTACATTCAGAAGAATAGGAAAATACTCAGACCTATGTATTTGCAAATGAATACAATGGAATGAGAATTTAATCTCTCAGCAAAAGTACTTTTACAGTAATGCAGGTACTGGCCTGTAAATGGCATAGAGAAAAGAAGAATTCAAACATATGACATATGGAAATCTTTGGTTTAGCTGCAGGCATTAAAAACATACATGTAACTGTTTTGTATATTGTTGCTTCCAGAAACTCTTGTGTAACTCCTACTACATAAATCATTTGTCTTGCTGACTTAACATATTGCCCTTATGTTAAATAGATGTTTTTAAGTGTATACATGCACAAAGAAAACACACCCAGTTATGCCTCCTGAGCTAACTTCCGCATGTCTTGTCATTTGTGGCTAAGTAAGTTTATTAATATTGAAGGCTGACATTTTTAAACAAGCATCGTGACTCACTCTGGTTTTATCTATTTGCAGTCTCACTTCACAAGAACACTGTTGTTTTATGCTTCTGTGAGGAGTATCCTGACCATCATCAATGCCCTTAAGAGCCCTCAAGCAAAATCACTTAGCGCTGTTGTCTTTACCTGCACTGCTGGTGTTTAATGCTTCTAATTCAAAAGATATCCCAGAAGAAAAGCTGGGGAGCAATTATAATTTCCCTAATTGGAGTTGATTATAAGACAGCATAACAGCCTTTCCCCTAAGTTTAGCATGCCACAAGGGGCAGCCATGATTCATTTGATGGAAGTATATGTTTCATGCTGCTTCGAAGCTGCTGTGGGTTAAATGGGAAACAAAATGAAAAACAGCAGTGCAGAAGGTTAATATACCACACAGTTAATACTCTTGAGTCAACAGCAAGCTTCTTGGTCTCTTGACTCCATTATCTGATGTAATTGGTTTTAATAACCCCAAATAAAAAGTAACGGAGAGGAATATTTGACTCTGTACAAGAACTGGTGTAGAAGCTTGCTAAGATGACCCAAGAATCAATAGAAGAAAACAATACAGGTACCCTTACTCATACCAGATTCTCCCTAAATCAAGTCACCAATCAGTGGTGGCTGCTCACTGATTTGTCTCTGTATAATTACTGGGATGAAACTTGTAGAGAAAGCACTTCAAAGTGTGTAAGAATCAGAGAGATCAACACAGTGGAATAGTGATATAGGAGGTGCAACGACAAAGGGACTAGCACAATGGACAGGCATTACAAAGAAAAAGCGCACATCCATCTCTGAAGATCGTGGTTCACAGGGAAGCTCCACAAGGGAGGGAATCTCCAACCAGAGATCCTTCCCCAGTGGCAGTCAGCCCTTAAATGAGATCTAAGAGAGGCACAGCCAGGCTCACCCCTTCTGGCTGCACAAATTGCCTTCACCTGTTCTCCGAGGGCTGATCGGGTCCTTTCCCCAGGTGCTCAATCAGTGCTTCAGGCCACGACTCAATATGGCCAGTTACCATACAAAGTGTGATACATTTCTGGAGACAAATCCCACCACAAAAATCTTTCCTAAACTATCATATTTAAGCACCTGCTTTCAATATTAAGACAAAGCTTAACAAGAGCAGAGTTACTCTCTGAACACACCTCTCCTAAAAGCAGGGTCTCCAAAGGGAACTTATCTCAACTCAAATGACTGCACCTTTTTCTGGTAGCTTTGCAGTTCAAACTTGCTTTAAATCAGGCTTTCATTGCCTGGAATAACTTTAAAAGTATTTTCTAATCATCTGCTCAAAAAATAGCCTAAATTCTTAGAATATAACACTCAACTCCATTAAACAAATGTAGAAATTGGACAGGTCAAAACAGTGGGAAAGGCACTACAATAAAGCTGTGACGACAGAAGGACTGGCACAATAGGGAGGTACTGTAAAGTAAGAGAAGAAGGTTGCTCACCTTATCAGAAGATTCTAGATTCACAGGAAAAAGCTTCACCAAGGAGAGATCTCCAGAAAGAGACCCTTCCCCAGTCACAGTCAGCTCTTAAATGAGGTTTAAAAGGGGTGCAGCCAGGCTCCACCCCTTCTGATCACACAGTTGAATTGCCTTCACCTGTGCTCCCAGGGCTGACGCAGGCCTTTCCTCAGGTGATCAATCAGTGGTTCACGCTATGATCCAGCAGCTCCCATACAACAAGTATACTTTGCTATTTTCTGGAAAGTAACTCTTATTGTCGTTTAAATCAACAGTTAGAATCTTGTACAGAAGGCAGGAATCTGCCCATAACACCAAACCTAAAATACCTTGTCCATAAATCTGTAGACTTTCCTGTCTTGTCAACTGGTCAATATTTATTAGGTTCTGTATGCTCAGTAACACCACACAACTTCCCCACCCCCCCCAAACACACACAGACAATCCTGCAAACAAGCTAATTTAATTCAACTATAAATTCCTATTTGAAACAGGAGATGCAAACTCAGAATCCACTTTCTAAACGGTTAGTGAGTAGGGACGCATGGAACAAAGCTTGGAAGCAAATAATTTGCTGCTCTGTCTGTCCTCTCCCTTTTTATATATATAGTATATATGTACATACAAAATGTATGTTTATATGTATGTATGCACACACAGATAGCACGCATTGCCCTCTACTGGCCAGAGCCTAGTATGCAGAGGTCTTCAACACTGCTCGTAACCAAACTTTAGCAAGTACGTGACAGGGCTGTATTAGTATGGGATATTGACTCCTGATGCTTGCCAATATAGTAAGAGGCATCTCCTTCAACTCCAAAAATCAGATTTTTCAAATCCATTTTTAAGGCTTGGGGTTTCTTGCTTCCTGTCCTCCTACTTGGTGATATATCTAGAAGCACAAAGGAATTATACAAACCATGCATACAAGTGGCTTACAGGTTGCCTATTTCTATTTACATATCCACATACAAACTATTACCATTTTATGTTACATTCATAAGTGCTCATTTCTGCCCTCAGTTCACATTTTAACCAAGCACCAGTAGACTGAGAAGTAGCAGAAAGGCCTTAAACACTTAAATGGTTAAGGCATCCAAAACTACACTGGGACAACCTGCTCCAGTGCTACACCACTCTCTAAGTACTTTCTCCTAAAATCTAACCTAAATCTCCTTTGTTTTATTTTAAAACCACCCCTCCCCCTTGCTCTATTACTATCTGCCCACATAAAAAATTGGTCTCCCTTCTGTTTACAAGTCCCCTTTAAGTACTAGAAGGTTTCAGTGAGGCCTCCCCAGAGCCTTCTTGTCTACAGGTTAACAAGTTCAGGTCCCTCAGCCTGTCTTCTCACATGTTATCATAATAGTCTGCATTACAGTCTGTCGTCTTCCTGAGTGCAAATGGCTACAGCATACTATTCATAAGAATTAATGGACATAAAATAGGCTGGTATCCTTGAAAGTGGGAAGAGACAGCTAATTTCTTCATTTTTTTTCTTAAATATACTCACCTAAGGCCCAGTACGACATAGCTTCCAAAGGTGAAGAAGTGCTGCAGATAGCATGGATATACATGAAGTGAATCATTAGCTCAGCCAAGCACCACCAAAAGAAAATACGAATTATGCCCATGGTTAAGATGCCAAGATTGGTCTTCAAACTGAAGGCTTCTTGTTTCCTCATCTAAATGAAGAAACCCAAAGAAGTTATATGACACACAACTGACTGTTTTACTCAAAAACTCATCTCAAGAAATTTTTTTATTTTATTATAAAGATTTCATTTGTTATTCATTACTATTTAAGGGGGAGTCATCTGTCTACACTATTTGAGAATTCCTGATACACTTTTTTTTTTGATGTAGCCTGGTTTCTTCTTTCTCAAGCTCACTAAGTAGAAATAAGCAAGTAGAAAACAGAGCGGTAAGGCAAGCAAAACAAGTCCCACATCAGTATCACAAGACTAGCTGCAGTATTTACAGATATTCAGTTCATGTGCGTGTGAACATCTTCCATTGCTCCAGATGATATTTCCTCTGCATTGCAAAACTATCCACACAGTTGAACCACAATGGGAATGCAATGGTATCTGCTAGTACAGTGCAATTCCCATGCTAGGCACGCTAACACAGGGGGATCCAGACTACTTTTGTCTCATGCTTTGCTTTACAGGTTCAAAAAGGTCACTGCACTGCTTTGCTACTGCATGCTGCCCAGGACTTCATATGTATAATCTTCGCTTCCATTTGCATTTATTCCAAATGGACATTTTAAATTGTTTGACCCCACAGGCATCTCTCAGAATAAACCATGGTGCAAAAAGGCATCACACTCTCATCCCTGCACTGTCCCTTCAGAGGTCCCAGCCACATCCCAGCCACCAGCTGCTGCCAAATTAGTGCTATGAGGCCTAAGGGCCATTACTCACAATGTCATCACTTTTAAGATGACCTAAGGAAGCACTGCCTCGTTAACAGCCAATTTACTTCTGGAAAGCTGTCAGACTTGAGAGGAGTTTATTAAAAGCTGACTAACCATACAAACAAGTTCCTAAGTGTCTAATTCAGCAAAAAAAATAGCTACCAGAAAGAAGCATACATTTATTCACATTTACAAGTGTGGGAAACACAGCAACAAACACACAAAGCATAGAACAATGAAAACTGTTCTTACTTTTATTTTTTCCCCCCCCTGTATGTCCTCTAAGGGCACTTGTATGACAGCTGTTCACACAGAGGCACAAAACATGGAAAGAAATGTTGCATACTGAGCAAAACAAAAGGCTTGGAAGAAGGTATAAATTACACACTGCCTGCCTACCTGCACAAGAGGATTACAAGAAAACATGAAACTTTCACTATGTAATTGTTGGATTACTTTTCCCCCCTCACAAATTCTGTGAAAATTTCCCCAATGTTATGAGAATTACTCAAAGAGCACAAACAGAAAGCTGGTATCCTCAGCTCATTCCTGTTACATCGTTAAGTTTTCAGAGAAAAACCCCTCCCCTTCAGATTCTTGTAAAACCCTCCTAAAACTAAAATGTCTTGAGTTGGCAATGCCATTGTACTTCCAGAATTAAGCAATCATGAGTAACACACCTCATGCAGACAAAGTCCTTCACTTCCTCAGGCATGCACAATCCTGGTACACAAGCACTCTGCGAGCCCAAAAGAAGCAACTCCATCTCCCAGAGTATTGGAAGGAGTACCTTTTTCAATCCAAGCAGCCTACAAAACGAGCAAGTCCAGTCCCAAGAACCAATCATGACAGTACACTGTATCAAACAACATTTAGTCCTGCAGATAAATTAATCATTCTCAAATCCTACAGAACCAACAGGTTGCAGAAACAGCCAAATGGTATCAAACTCAATAGAATCAAGAAGAGACTTGAGTATTAAGAAGAGACTTCTTAATTCTTGTACTTCGCTGATAGCTGTAGATCATGAAATAAAAGTTTAAAGATACTACAGTTGCGAAGGAGAGTAGGATTATCCAGGCAGTAATCCTACCAAACACAGAAAAGATAACAGCTTGCTCTTAAAAATATCTCAAACTTCTGCCAGCTGCAGTGGATTCATTAGCTGAGAGCAGTTCTTTATTTTCTCCTGTAGCATTGTCAAGGTCAGTGAGACCAATGGGATGTACTGAGCAAATGCCAGTTAGGTGCAAGGTAAAAATGAGACAAGACAAGGTTCACAGTTGACAGGCTCCCAAGATGCCCCACCAGATACTTTCATCACTAACTGGAGTAAACAAATTCTATACTATTTTATTACACTTTTTTTTTTTTTGTGAAAGAATTTGATCAAGTAACTTAGTGGAAAGATTGCCTATAACATTTTTTACATGTCACTGAACGTATGCCAAGTTTCATTCTTCAGTTTTTAACCAGACACCAAAAATATACATAAACAAGCAGCCCACTCACTCACACACACACAACACCCTCCCAAAAATTCCAGTCATCTTATTTGCACAATATACCTAACATGCAGTTGGCTCTGTTCACGTGGAAATGAACAAACACACTAATTGTGTAGCTGAATTTGTACTAACTACATGACATTTTGGAGCCAACCATTAAATCACAGGCATTTGCACAATACACCTTCAAATCCTCAACTAGAATGCTCTATTTCTACCCAGGCCATCAGTGAAATACAACAGCTTCTCATTCCTGCCTGGCAACAGATGCAAATTACCAGCATTATTGATCTCTTTCATTCATGTAACAGCTTCTTCACTTCCTTTTTCAATAAGTCTGCTTTCCAGCATGCTGAGCAGAAACGCTCTTCTCAGTCTCAGATTCAGTTAAGTGCTTCTACAGTTCCCAATCTCCTGTTCTGATAGCTGCAATAAACACACTTCTGGTATTGTGCACTTTGAACAAACTGCTGAGATCTGCTAACTTCAGAATCTGTCTCTAACTTCAGATATCAAGGCGACGACATGACTCTTCTCTGGTAAGAGCTGTGAAAATGCATTGCAGCAAACACCAAGAAACAAGTTACATTTTTTCCAGTACGTTTCATCTTCATCAAGGCTTTAATAAAACAAGGTTTGTGTGTATTTAAATGAGAACATAACACAGACACGGGCATTCCATTCCCCATGTTTAATTTTCCCTTCCCACTGTCTCAAACCAAGAACATAGACAGGCTTTTCACATACCTGTACTGGGCCATATCAGGTGAACTAAGATCCATTTCAAGACCCTATGCACAGCTTTTCCCAATGGCTATCTTCAAGCTGCCCTCTACACAGAATCCTGTGTATTATATACGTGTATATATATATATGTCTTTTGAAACACTCCTTGAAAAAAATTATTTCTCTGCTAGCAGTATAGGAATACAGGTGGCATTTAATAAAATTTAGAAACTATAAAACAACAGTAAAGAAAACTTCCTCAGCATCTATATTGGTAAGTCTAGTGAAAGAATAATTCTACTCATTTGAAGATTTTTAATTCCCTTTTCCTCCAGTTGCAGTCTTTTCCTGAAAAGGGCTTTAAAGTTGCACAGATGATTGGCTTGTTCTCAGCGAAGCCTAAAAAATTGCTTATTACCCACTTCTGTCAGTCTTGCAGATGCTTTTGCTTATCTGACTCATCTCTCTTAATGACATCTCATTGTCAGTAAGCACTTGAAGAAACCAACTTTGCTTCAAAGTGGTGAAAGATCCTCTGACTCTGCCCCTTTAATTTGTACAATACTTCTGCCAGTCACAGCTCAGAGCATCTCAGCACCTCTGGTTCCTATTCGACAGCAAGCAGGCTCCAGATACATTTAGGAACTCATGCTGAGATATTCAAAGCCAGAGAAGATTTAGACACCTGCCTACTATTAAATGTAATGGAAAATAAGTATGCAAATGTATTAGTCAGCTTCAGAACATCAGTGTCTATTTAGGGACCTACCTTGCCTCTCCTATTTCACTTGTGTGATTCAGAAAAGCTTAACGGCTTTTAGTGAAGGAATCAGATGTTCCCTGTTGCAGCAGGAGCTGAGCAGAGCTGATCCTTTCAGGCTGACTCAGCTGCAAGGGCACCTTTTCTGTAGCTCTCCCAAAAGTACAGGCACATGGAGAAAGTTTCCAACACTCCTCAGGTTGTGGATCACACCAAAGTGCTGTGTGCTCAATCAGCACAACAGCAGCTCTGCAGCAACTGAAATTCAGTTGATTTAAGGTCCCACGTGCTACAGGAGTAACGAAAGCTCTCTCATCACTTGTCTTCACCTGAATTTGAGAGACGCTACGTGCTTCACAGCTGCATATTAACTGTGTATTAAGCAACCAACATGAGACTACGCTTGATACTGAAGCATTTCTTTAAGTTGTACCTTTACTGGCAGGAAACAGAAACCTATGGAAACTGTGTTAGTCCGACTTTTCTAAGTACACCTGATCTAGTGCAAAAAAGAGCTGTCCAAAACCACCAATCTAAATGCAGTTTACTTCAACATTTATCAAGAAAGAGATGAATATACACAAACACTAGAGACATCGACTCTTTCTAAGTCTAACGTCTATTTTTGACAACTTGAAAATAAATTTAGCTTACTTGCATCACACATTTTGAAGTATACTACAAAAACAGCCTCATGGAAAATTGGTGAAAGAACTGTGCAATTAAAATTTTCTCATAACCAATATTGAAGTTTCACAAAATGTGAAACAGCAAAATTAACTTATCGCATTGAATTTACTTTTATTAAAAGGTGGATTTGGCAGCTGAAGAGAGACCACCTTTTTTTTTTTTCCAGTATTTCTTAGTCAAACATGATTCACATCTGCACACATATACTGGAAGTTTACAGTTCTGTAGTCTTAAAAAAAACCTGTTACCTGCTTACTAAATTCATCAAAGTTCATAAGGGGTCCATTGTGGAACATGGGATAGTAAAACACATATGCCAGCATCCACAGGAATGAATGAGATGATTTCTGGGCATGTCCATGCCAGCAGTATTCCAGGCTGAAACTTGTGTTGAAGAGGCAACGAACAGACACCGTGAAGAGAAGCAGATAATACTCATTTTCAGTGTCATACCACTTTCTCTGTAAGACAAAACAAGGTCACAGAATAGCACTACAATGCTGTGATTCATAAATTGCAGGATAATTATATCAATCAAGACCTTGACTTTCCAGGTCACCAACAGCAGAAAGCACCAAAAGGTAATAGAAACTGGCAGGAATAATGGAAGCAAATGTCGCTAACGTTTGAAGAGCGAATGCTGGCTGCTGACAGAGCTGCTGGTCTGCAGAGCTGCTAAAACGGGCAGAAAACACTACAGCTAATTTCAAACTTTACTATGTCTTGAAGAACTACGTAAAACCAGGAGAGCTTTTCTTATGCTAATACCATTTTTTTCTTCAGATTTTGTCCAGATGCATAACATCACTTACAGTTGGCAATCCTATCAGCTACTAAGGAGCTACTCGGACTGGTCAAGCTACAAGTCGAATCTGAAAAGAATGAGACACTTGCTAGGAAGCTGAAGGCTAGAAAGATTTTGCTGAATCTTTGTCATGTTTATCATACTCCCTGACACATGCTGTCAACAAAAACAGACACATATAGATGTACACATGTCAATTACCACAAAAAAATCCAAACACCCAAGCTTAGAAACATCAGCAAATACAATTTGGCTGATTAAATTTGTGTTGCAGTGGGCTTAAGAAGCCCTTTGATCTCTGAGAGACAGAAATCCACCAACACCAAAAGGAAAGATCTTACCAGCTCAGCTCTGCTCCCCTTCAAAATTAGAAAAGGCCTAGTAGAATAATGCTAGTTTTTCTTCCCCTCTCAGTTCAAATAAATACAACAAGGACATTTCCTCATAACTACAAAGCAGTTTCTCTAACTCCTTTATTCCCCAACCAGAAGCATTAGCAAAACAACAAAACTGAGCTTGCATCAATCACCTGTGAGCAAGCAAGCAAGCAATTCATTCAGTATAAATGAAATTGTTTGAGAAATACTTTTCATTTCCACACTACCAGTGAGATCCTAACAAGCTTTACTGAGTGACTCCTGGACATGAATCCAAAGAACAGCACTTGAAATCACTATGATTATACCTCTAACAAAGGAGAAATACATTCACTAGAGGACTGGGCAAGGTATTTATCATACTCTGTCTCCACCAAATAACACTCCCAGGTTAATGTACACAATTTCATCTCAATCCATGGACTGGCATGATGAAAAGTCCTCTGTTACCCATAAACTACAATTAAGTGTGGTGAGGCCAAACCACATTCCAAGAAGCATTAGAAATTCTGATCTCAAGTCCAAACCCCAACACCAGGGTTAGGTAGGTTTTCAGATTTCATTTCCTAATGGGATGACCGATAGGAAGGCAAAAAAACCTGTGGGTTTTCCAGATGATTGATCAGAAGTATAACACGTACAATGCCACTCTAAATGGGTAAAATAGAGAAGACTGTGTTGGTGCCCCACTCTCAAAAATGCCTTAGAAATTTAAAGTTTTCCACACAAAAGACAATAAGAGGTCAGAAGTTCATCAGTAGGAAAATGAAACAAATTCCATCAACAAACTGGGATGTTGCCAGTTTCCGGGCAATAGATGGAAATGCTCACAGTAGACAAAAAGGCTAACCCAAATAAGCAAGGAAGACTTGTTTACCAGCTTCCTAGAAGAATCCTTATAGCCAAAACCGTGTGGTTACTTCTCTGTAGCATGGATCACCAGGTCCAGAAATAGCTGTTTTCCTGCTGCCAGCCTCACAGCATGTTGCTAGTGTACCTTTGTGCTCAGAAAATATATTCACAGATGCAGATGCAACCTCCCAATTCCAGTTTCTGAGAACTTATTTTAATCTGGACGTGTACTACTTTCTTGACATGCTACATAAATCTGTTTTTTTGGGTTTTTGTTTTTGTTTTTTTCTTCAAATCACGGGACACAGCTCTACACGTGACTGTAACATGATGGAAAGCACAACAATGACAACAGAGCAGCAAGATCCCAGGCTCCAACAAATGAGGATCTGCTTAAACACAACAGAAGCGGGCACTGAAATAAAGGAAAGAAGCTGCTTACCTTCAGAAGGCCTCAGGAACGCAGGGGTCCCCAGCAAGATACCCTTGTTCCCTCTGCCAACCCTTAAATGAAGTCTGGGAAGGGGTGGATCCTGGATCCACTAGGTGCAATCACTCGGGTACATTGCATGCACCTGAGCTCCCCTGAGTTGGCCATGCCTTACCACCAGCTGCTCAATCACTGCTTCAAGCCATGACTTAGCATATATACTACAGTGACTATAAGCAACAGTCAGTCAAGCTATCAATATTACATTATCACAATGACTTGATGTTTTTCCTCATGCAATGACAGACCTCTTGGTCATCTTCTTGAGGTCCATTTCTTCTTACACACTGCAGACAGGTTTTACTGAAAGCTTTCACAATGCAGAGAACTTTAGCTTTAATGGGTTGCATTTGTAATGCAAACCAAACATTGTTCTACTGCCTTACTAAGTTTTCCCACGTCTTCCTGGGGTCTATTAGCTTTGCACAAATTCCTCTGCTGTCCTTCCCAAAAAGTAGGATATATTATAAAGAAGCTGTTTTCGTTTCCATTTTATATTATTATATATTTTATATATATATAAAATATATTTAATTTTATATATAATAAATATATTTATATTATTTCTATTCTATCAGAGAAAGGCAGATTCCAGCACAAGAGCAGTGATTCTTTACATGAGCAGAAGAATGAAAAGCCACAATCAGAGCTGAGCAGTTTGCTCCCACAAAAACTGAATTCACAGATTGCTCTTCCAAGAGTCACTACACCATACATGGCTCCACTGACAGGATGAAGGCAATACAAAGGGAAAAAACAGCAAAGGGCAGGAAGGTGAGAAGGAGAAAAAATAAGGAAAAACTATTCCGGTCAGACAAGAAAGTTAGCAAAGGAAAACAGAGCAACCCAAAAACAAATGGCAAGAGTGGAGACTGATAAAAATGAACAGAAGATAAAGTAGGCAGCACTCTGGTGGTTGTCTTGTTAGAGTTCAAACATTCCCTTACACAGTAAGAGACCATCACATTACCCTGCAGAGTCCTTCTGTTTATTTGGCATAATTTAGAGTAAGAATGCAGCCAGGTCTCAGATAGATAAGAAGAGCTGTGTTGTGGAGCTGACCACAGAGAACTCCAGAAGGCTGGGCCTTATCTAAAGTAGTCTCTCAGAACCACCTTCTGCCCTTGCTTGTCTCTTCAGTTCCCCAGACAAAAGCAAACAAAGCAACCTTGGCTTTTATCTTTACAGAGGTAACAATCATCTCTCAGAAAAACCCCACAGGTGTTCCTGAAGCATCAGACTATCACCAATTTCACTCCTCTCATCTGCTGTTTAAGAGCCCTGCAGGATCACCAGCAACAACACAGAACAAAGGAAAAGGAAGGAACAAAGGCAAGAACGAAAGCAGGAGCTACAGATGGTAGCTTCAAATAAATACAGACAAACCTTTAAAAGAAGCATGTACACCATGCTAGAGTGTACAGTACACTGAATATAACCTGATCATGTCAGCTGGCATCCAAAAGACTGTCAAAGCACAATTATTGAGAAAGACATCCTCTCTTCTAAGTGGCTTCAGTCACATATACCACCATTATGAATCACATTATGTACTATTGTAGTGAGCTAACTTTCAGTTTATGCCTTGACAAATACCCAAATGAAACCATAAGTGGCCCACTAGTAAGAATTAACCAAGCATATGAGCCTATCCACATTGCTAATTGTAAGAACTCTAGCATGGCTCACTGCATCTCTACTTCCTACAGGTTTTCAAGCCAGTCTGCTTAGATCAAGTAAAGAGAGTAGTTGGTCATGAAGATAGATACCATAACAGCAAATAAGACTGTATTTAATTTGACGCTTAATTCATACATCTGAAATTACCTTGACTTCTTCCACTGCTGGTATGCGTAAAGTAGATAACAGGAGAAGTGAGCACAGCCACGTCAGGAGCGGTATCTGAAACTGAGCCACAGCAAACGAAATGCCTGCGTGTAACAAAATGACCGCAAAGCCCTTCATTCCTAATAAAAACCAGCAGGCAGCCATTCCATACATCATCAAGCACCATGGTTTATACTGTTAGAAAAAAAAAAAAAAAAGGACCATGAACAATTTTAATACTTAATTTTTAAAGCAAAACATAGTAACAGTACCGTCCTATTCATAGTACGGCCACTAAGATGATCAGAAGGCTGGAGCACCTCTCCTGTGAGGAAAGGTTGAAGGAACTGGGCTTGTTTAGCTTGGAGAACAGAAGGCTCCAGGGAGACCTTATTGTGCTCTTCCAGTACTTGAAGGGAGCATGCAAACAGGAGGGGGGGACGGCTATTTACGAGGATGGGTAGTGATAGGACAAGGGGGAATGGTTTTAAATGGAGACAGGAGAGGTTTAGGTCAGATATTAGGAGGAAGTTTCTCCACACAGGGCGGCGACGCACTGGAACAGGTTGCCGAAGGAGGTTTGGATGCCCCATCCCTGGAGGCATTCAAGGCCAGGCTGGATGTGGCTCTGGGCAGCCTGGTCTGGTGGTTGGCGACCCTGCACATAGCAGGGGGTTGAAACTTGATGATTATTGTGGTCCTTTTCAATCCAGGCCATTCTATGATTCTATGATAGTAGAGTGCCAGGTCTACACGTCACCCCTTCCATTCCCATAGCTGATTAAAGCTTTCTATTCCCATAGCTAATTAGAACACACAAATTTGCCATGAAGTAAACCCATGCATACCTTGTCCACGAATAGCCTGCATGTTTGTGATACCAGCAGATGCCCAGCCAGAAGCCACAGTATGTATTCCCTTCCCCATTCAATCCAATAGTTCCACTCAAAATCCAAGGCATCCTGGGCATCAAGGAAATACGCGTAACTATAAAAGCATGTTCTGAAAGTACAATTAAATGTCTCAGTAACATACAAAGTTCATTGTCCAGTTCATTGTTCAGCATCTGAGGAATTTTTGCTTAGGCAAGAAAATCTGATTATTTGCAGTGGTGAGCTCCAACGCCACTTTGACTTTCAGTAGCCTAAAATCCACAGAAAAAAAAGTGGAAGAGCAGAGGGGCACCATCAGCACAGAACAAGAAGCACACTACACAGAACTGACACCTGCCCACCTGCACATAAAACTGACACCAGCAGCAGCTTGCTGAGGACACAGGTGCAGAATGTCATGAAAATACTGCCACTGATGACTACAAGGGTATGTATGGCTCAGAGCCAGAGTCCATTTCAAAGCACATAAGCTTTTACGCATTCCTATGACAGGGTGCTACATGTTCCACTTCTCTGCAGGCTTCAGATCACTGGACAAAGTAATCCAAAGTACCCTTATGCTGCTGCAGGCTCATTAGCAAATCATCAGGAGCACAACTGAGTGCTGGGCACCACCAGCATTTCCCTGAAATCCAATAAAACCAATAAAAACAAGACATGCTCAAAGCAGTAGAACATGTGGTCTACGTACCTCTCACAGCTGCTTTTAAGATGGTCTCATCTCAAAGAAAAGTAGATGAGACAAAGCAGCTGCCAAGTAAAAACAAGTATCACAAATACCAAGGAAACCATGCCTGGTTACAAGCGTGGACAGATCATACACAGCTGTACTGATCCACCAGCCAAATCTGGATAGCATGGATCGGGAGAGTATCAATTACTATTTCTATCAGCAGAAGTAAGGGAGGGTAATAGGTACTCTCTCAGGTGATAAAAGGTGAAAGAGAAACAAAGCTGTGACTTCTCTGGACTTTTCTAGGAATAAGAGGAACAACCCTGCACTGGTTTGAAAAACACACAGTTTGGATGAAACAATACCTTGCTCTAAGAGAAGTTTAACTCACTATTTCAATAAAGCCTAATTGTAACCAGGTGGAGCCAGGTCAGACTGAAACGTGGTCAGATGCAAATGTCATTCTAAATGAGATAAAAGGGATCAGCTAGCAATCCCTGTTCCCTGCTAAAAGTTAGGACTTCTAAACACGCAATCATCTGCATGTCTGGGATTAAATTCAGTATCTTACACACTTTGCATTTCTAGAATATTTCGTGATTTTCCTGAAAGGACACAGAAAGGGGTCCATACAACTGGTGACAGTGGGCCTAAACACAAACATGTGTTCTTGGCTTTGATTAAATCACCTTCAAAATGAGTTGCATGATGAATTTTCTTCAAAAGGAAGGTGGGTTATTTGGGTTTTGCTTTGTCTTAAAAAATAGAAGCATGTTTCTTCAAACATTCTCTTCTCCTCTATGCTGAACTACAGCTCAATCATGAGTGTCATGAGATCACATCAATCTAGTGATGAATTCACTAGATTCATCAGTGAATCTAGTGTTCACTGATGTTATACCCAAACACCCAATACCTAAATACCAAATGACATGAACAAAGGGGGAAAAAAGGCTGCAGGAAACGTAAAAGGAGATTAAACCTTTGAAGGCCAAACAGTCACACAGAAGCTTATTAAATGACATTACTAATGAGAAATACTCAGACTAACCACAAGAAAAACGAAAAAAAAACCAACCACAAAGCCACCTAATGATGAGTATGAAAATCTGAAAAGTTATTATGGGCTTCTGAAACTAAAACAGTATCTCGGGTGAGCAAACGGCATTTCTGTAGCTTTTTGGTTTAGCACTATTTCCATGCTATTGCGAAGTAGTTCAGATTAGAATAGAACACAAAGGCAAATGCACCGGAAACAAGAAACAGTGCCTACGTTATCCTAATCCATTCCCCTCAGCAAAAACTTAAACCTGCTTGATCCCGCACAGAGTGAAACATGCATTAGAAAAGGATTAAGTACTGCACACTGCCTCATGCGGAAAGCACTTGTCTGGGGTTTTGAACATTAAATAATAATAATATACAGTGCCTATGCTTTCCTCTTGTTCTTCATATCTTTATAGAGGTTTGGGCTCTGATGTCTATGGGAGCCTGGCTGTAGAGTAAGAGAATAGAGTAAAAAAACCAGGGATGACATTAAAACACTTAAAACCAAAGTCTCCTTACAAAGCACCATTACAGGAAAAGAAAAGACCAGTAGAAGGAAAAGCACAGTGATTTGTTTACTGCTTCTCAGCAGAACACTGCTTGCTGCAGGAGGACTTCAAGGAATGGCAAGCTTCTGTCCTTGCAGAGAATCAACAAAATACAAAGTGCTGTAACACACATTATTCCTACCTTCTTAAGGCCCCAGAACAGAGTCCCTTGTTCCAGTCCAAAGCTTCTGTCAATTTCATCTTTGTATTCTGCAAAGATGAATAAATCTTCATTAATTACATTTTAAGAAAAGCAACAGTCCTGCAATGAGGCACTCTGCTTCTAAATAAAAACAAATTCCCCTCATCTTCTTTACAGCTGTGGACACTTGGAGCTCAGGAAGGAGAGATGTCTGCATGCAAGGAATTCAGCAGATGTGAAGCCTACAATTTTTCCTCTTTCCCAGCAGGCACACAGGACCTTTCCATAGCCAGATCCTGGGCTTTGGCCTGTATGCATCCTGAACCTTCTAATGATGAATGCAGAGTAGCCTTGACCACTGGGCACAGGTGTGCACTACAACAGGAGGAATTAACCCTGAAAGATGCACTACATAAAGAATTTTCTTTTTCCTTCTTCCCTCACCCATGCCCATCAGGTATTCATACGTTTCTGCATAAAATTCCCACAAGCTTCCCCACCTCTAGACTGAAAAATTACTTTAATTTTAAATAGATACAACAGAGAGCTGAGCTTGAGCCATTTAACACATGGGACCTATAATAACCACCATTTCTTATCTTTTAAGACTGTTTGATATCTCCCTCTAGCGGCAAAGAAAGACATAGGACATGAAGGTAACTAATAAAAGGTGTATAGTAAAGATGCCTTAGGAGTCAGTATCACCCAGCTCCTGGACTCCTGCTGCGAGGGAGCCCATTCACCTCCATCTCCTTCTAACAGGTTTGACAGAGGAGCGAGGAAGAAACTAAGGTAGCAGACAAATCCAGCTCAGCCACAGGCTAGGAACACTACAAAAGGGAGTGCATCAGCATCACAGACTTACTTTGAGAAACCTGGTACACTTCATAGAAAGAATAGAAATGAGAGCCAATGGTAAGGAACAGGTAGGCACACATTTCCCATGCCGGCAGCATCACTGGTCTGGGAGCTGCTCTGCTGTTCTTCATACTGACTGCACCTCTCTAGCTGGTCTCTGGAAAAGGCAAGGAAAACAAAGCAGAAACATAGCACCATTGAGGTTGGAAAAGCCCACTCAGATCATCTAGTCCAACCATCACTAAATGGTACCATGCAGCTCAGCATTAAAAACCTTCACAATACTAAACAAAGTTACTGGAAAACAGATTGGCCTGCAGTCATTTTGTGATGCTGGAGCCCTCATATGCATCTCCAGAACAGCAGCACCCTCTCAGCGCTGTGCTTTGTGGGCCAGGGCCGTGTTACAAACACTCAGAATTGCAACAAAAAAGTCAGAACATGTTTAGGTATGTTGTGTTCTCCAAGGACAACTCTGAAACACCACTTCCCCGTGCAGCAATGCACAGGGATAAGCACTTCTGGCTCTGCATGTAACTAAACATTGGTGTTTCAGGTCCAAATACACAGAACTGGAGCACGCACCAGGTAAAGCTAGTGTGAAAAGCAAGAAACAGTGGTGCACACACAGGCAGCCAACACAATTTATTTCATACAGAACCGGGCCAGCTGGCTTTTGGCATTAAGACACGCAACACACCTCCCACCGACCAAAAGATGGGCATTTGGAATGCGGTATCTCAGCTGCACCCCAGATGCGCACTGCAACCACGTGCACACCACACGTAGTCCCCCGTTCACACAAGACTACGTGAGAAGCCTCCCGGCCCCGTGAGACACGGCAATGAGGGGCACCGGGGCTCCGCAGCCCGGACGCGAGGGCAGCCGCGGTCACAACCGGGCAGCGCTCGGCACCGCCCGCAGCGACACCGCCGCCATCCTGGCCCGGCGGCCCCGGAACCGCCGTGGACGCCCCAGCGGGGCCCGACCGCGCCGGGAGGCGGGCAGCCCGCGGCCCCTACCTGCTGAGGGCTCGCCGAGGCCGGGAACGGCCGCCCCTCAGCCCGCGGCGCGGGAAGGGCAGAACGGGGCAGCGCCGGCACTGTGCGCCCGCTCCCGACCGCCGGGCGGCGCCGCAGCCCTCCCGCAGCGGCGAAGCGGCCCCCGCCGTCCTCCCCGTGCTTCCGGCTCCGGCGAAGCGGCCCCGCCCCGGCCCCGGCTCCTGGCGGCCCCGGCTGGGGTGTTGCAGGACTCCCGGCTGTAGCGGGAGGCGCTGTTTGCAGGACGGGGAGCGGTGTTCTCTGTAATAGGTGCCATCTGCGAGCGTAAACTCATCGCCAAGTTGGTGCTTGGGCTGGCCCTGACCTCGTGTCCCAGTCACGCTGCAGTTTGGACCTGGCCAACGTGGCCTTACGGATGTGAGTGCAGGTCCACCGTGGCCAAAATAGCTCCTTGAGGGCTATTGCACGCTGTCTTTCACATTTTCTTATCCTTATTTATAAAGCATGAACCATTTGTGTAATAAGTTGGCTTTCTCGTCTGTGTTTCTGTAGCATCTCTCATGATCTGACTGCAGGTGCCATCATCATATGACTGATGGATCACAAAAAGAATATTAATTGTGTAGAAGAGCCTTAGAAAGAGGATACTGTTTTCAGTATTTAATGAGCTGGGACAAACCACAGAGATGGTAGTGAAAAAAAAAAATTGCTGTAAGGAAGACTGAAAATAGAGACATTTTCTTCAACATGTCTCTGAAAAATTGTTCCAGGACATGTCAGGTAAATTAACTGCAAACTATAAATGAGGGACTGTATTAAATCCAAAATTAGACCATTTTGCAAAAGGATGTCTATAACAGCCTTCACAGGTACTTTTTCCCCCCACTAGAGTGAGAGAAACACTGATGCGGTGGTACGGGTAATTTCTGTTTTTACTGTAATTGTGATAACTATAGAAATGAACAGGTCTGAGAAACGCACCAAGACAGGAAGAGGCTGAGAGTGGTGGTGCTGGCAACCACATCATGGAACTGGCCTGCATTTTAACAGCTGGAGAGGATTTCCCTTCTCCTTGTACCTTAAACATGGTCAACGAACCTTAGTCCACATTTACTTATAAAATTGCCTAAAATATTTTGTCACTTTATATCCATCCATTTTTGCATCACATGACTCTTATCACACTCTTGTTTACATGTGTAGTGTGTTTATAGGGGGGGGAACATTTCATATCCTTTTGGATGTCACTTTGCTAGATCTTCAAATTGCTCTTAAAAAACAGGATTTCAGTTCTCTGTGGCCTTCTTTTCATCTTCAGATCCATGCTTCCTGATACCTGAAAGCCAGGCTTCTGCCTAATATTCCAGAGGAAGTCTCACTAGTACAATGTGTTAAGTCACAGAATCATAGAATCACCAAGATTGGGTCATCCAGACCAACCACCCGCCTATCACCAGTATTTCCCCACTAAACTACATCCCTTAGTACAACATCTAAACATTTCTTGAACACCTTCAGGGACAGTGACTCCACCATTTCCCTGGGCAGTCCATTCCAGCACCCAAACACAATTTTGGAGAGTACCACGAGAAAAGAGTCCAACCCCCATCTTGACCAACCTCCCTTCAGGTAGTTGTAGAGAGTTATAAGGCCTTCCCTGAGCCTCGTCTTCTCCAGGCTAAAAATAATTTCTATCCAAACCAGAAATAACGCCTCTTGATGTTTCCAGGAATCCCATTTCTCTTGGTCAGAAACACATTGTATTTCAGAATCCTTTTGTCTTATGCCTTCACTTTTTCTTTCACTGTTGTTGCCAAAGAGTGACTCATCTTCATTTTTCATTTTCAATTTTTGATAGCCACTGGATGCAAGATATTGCACTTTTACTACTGAATTATTGTAAGACTAAATTCTTACAATAGATTGACATTCTCCTCTGTGACACCTGGATCCTCCTCTCTGTTGACAGTACTTCCCTGTTAACCCTTCCTGGATTAGTCAATACCTTTCTGCCCAGAATATAACATCTTCATAACAGCATCGGAACAGTACAGCTGTTGAATTCACTAAAAATGCCCACAGTTCTGTAGCAGTTCTGGCCACTAAGGGTCAGTAAAGATTGTATTTTCCTACCTCTTGCGATTTCTATTTAACAGCATGAGTAAAAATGTCCTCTAGATGGCTGCATTACAAACTGTATGTGTGCAGCAGTAGCTTTGCAGCTTTAAAATAGGAAGAGGTATGACAAGTTACATCTTCTTAATCAGGTTACACTGGCAATAACACCTTTTTAATTGATGTGGTGACATCCAGGAGTTGATGCATATTCTGTGACTGCATAAGTAACTTTTCTTTCATAAATTTCACTGCCAAGCTAATTGAGCAAGAAAACCAACAAATACCAATAATGGTCCCATCTGGAAGATTTTCCTGTCCCATCTGGAAGATTTTCCTGTCTGGACATCTAGTTTGGATGAGACTTTTTTCTTTCCACATTTATTCAGGAGGTTTTACATAGTAAAATGTGAGAAAAATCTCAATGAATGAAGCTGTTGAACACAACTGTCATGAACTACGTATCTACACAGCTTAAGATAGCATGAATGAGGGCAGAATCCTGCTGTTGAGATATGCTGTTGAGACAGGCAGTTGATGAACTAGAAAGTGAGAGCCTTAGAAATGAAACCAGAAGGCCCTGCTTATATCAACTTAATACTGCCCCTTACTATTGATTTTGTGTGCAAATTCTTCAGAGTTGAGCTCTTTACAGAGCTGCTAATCACCAGGGTCTCTTCATGAGGCAGAGTGGGGATCTATAAGACAGTGAGGTGGGAAATCAGGCATTCTGCAGTTGACAAAGGAAACCAAAGCTACCGGTTTATCAGATCTCCCTGGAGCCTTCTCTTCTCTGTTCTGAACAGCCCCAGTTCTCTCAGCCCATCCTGGTAGGGGAGGTATTACATCCCTTGGATCATTTTTGTGGTCCTCCTTTGGATGCACTCCAACAGGTCCATGTCTCTCCTGTACTGAGGACTCTACATGTGGACACAGTACTCCCGGTGAGGTCTCACCGGCCAGAGCAGAGGGTTGTTTTGGTGCAGCCCAGGATCCAGTCGGCTATTCTAGGCTGCGAGGGCACCCTGCTGGCTTTTCTCCAGCTTGCCATCTGCCAGTACCCCCAGGTCCTTTTTGGCAGGGCTGTGCTCAATCCTTTCATCCCCCAGCTTGTACTGATAGTGGGGGTTAGTTACAAGCTATGCCCTAGAACTTACTCTTGTAGGTTCATTTATCACAGCCTTGAGCTGAGCTTCTTGTTTTCATTTATCCCCTGTAAATCATATGGCAATGCCCCATGGGTACAACATCTGAATGATGAGACACAAGCAGCATCTACTAAGAACCTGCATATTAAAATCTCAGCGGCATACAGAAGGATTAGCCATCTATGTTTAGAAGAATAACAACTGTGACAAGAAATATCCATGTAGCACAACAGCAATATTAAAAATTAGGAAAGTTAGAAATATAAAAGCTGTGGTATTTGCAGAGAGAGTGAAGTGAGTTTTCCAATAGCAAAACTAAATATGATACAACTGGGATTTATGTGAACCCTCCCTCCAGAGGTCTCAGGCATAGAGTTATGAATTCTAGGGTGAAAACTTTCAAGATTATCATTTTTTGTCTTGTTTTGCATGTCTGAATGAAAAGCCAGTGTTACACTATGTTGGTCAGTCTTGCAGATACTCCCATCTTTACAGGTTTCTCTATTCTCTGACTCTCTGCTCCCAAACAGGCAGTCTGTGAAATGCAAAGACATTTTTATTTTTCCATCACTTTTAGCCATATATATACACAGACAGTGTATATAAAGAGATCTTTGCAATTGTCTAGTCAGTATTTCCATGCACACAGAAGAATCATTTTCTTGGTTTCTTTTTAATGAATCCCTTGCATCTTCAAGAACTTGTTTCATGCTCTATGGCTGGAAAATTACCATTGTACTTCTAACTGGGGATTCATAAAATTACTTATGTAAAACTATAGTAAATTAATACAATATTGTAACTAAGCAGTTCACCATTGGATTCATGCTGAACATCTCGGAGACATCCTCTTAAATATGTTACATGTGCTGCTTAAATAATGCCCAGAAAACCATAGCTCCTGGTCAGAGCCTTTTAAGGGATTTCTTTACTCATTATCCAGTCTTGCCTCCAATGAAAGCAGAACTGGAAGTTGAGTCCTACTAACCATGTATGTAGGGACCACTTCAGTACAGTTACTGCAGCTGGAATGAGGTTCAGCTGTGCTACCTTGATCATGCTTAAGTCTAAGTTAGCAGTGCCTGCACAGCTTGCCCACTTACACAAATATTCCGTGATTAAATACGAAGCTGTGTTTTGCTTTGGTTTGGTTTTCAGCATAATATTCTTTAAATGCTGTCTGGCTTTATGTGTCAGATTATGGGATCAGATTGAAACCTCCCATGATCCGTGGTGAGGAGGTGGATAATCCATTGGTAGAAAGGACTCTTCAGATTCTTACTGTTTTTAAAACACAGTAGAACAAAATTCAGGAAAAAAGGCCACATCACAGACATTTTACTCAACTGTAATTTAAGTTACTACAAACGATGACCAGATTCCCACTTGACCTCAGACAGAGCAAGTAGCTGACCAAATGTAAACTTATCCTTATAGTGTTGCATGTTTAGATTTACAAAGACTGTAAATCAGATGCAAATCTAATTCTAATCTACTGCGTTATACACAGATTTTTCAGAGACATAGGAAGTTACTCATATCTGTACACATCTATATTTAATCCATAGCACTATTCCTGAAAACACTGCCTTTTTAATTAGTTTAGGAGAATAAATGCAGCAAAATAAAGAAATAAATGAAAACACATCTCAGACTACTATATAACCATCCCAGAATATCCAGACAGAAAACTCTCCCTTCCTGCCTACTGAGGAAATTTTCTAAACTCTATCTCCTGACATCTCTACTTCACATGAATAGCCAGGAAAGGATCATTTCATTCACCACAACCATCCGTATTTTACTGATTCATCCCTTACTTCC